TAATATTAATAATAAAACTACCAATGGAGATGAGTTCATCTAGCAGATGCATTTGTTTCTTTTCTTAATAATTAGACATGAGTTTGAATCTCATATTGTATATTGTATTAAACACAAAATACAAAGAGAGTGGTGTGCACACGAGTGCAAATGGGGGGAATGATTAAAACAACCCAAGAAAATTCAGACAAAAATAACTATACTGCAATTTGGTTAAAGAAAAGGTAACATCACTCAAACAGTTGCCATAAGTAGTTCAATCAAGAGATCCATTCAGAGACATGTCTGTCCCTTTATATCATCAGTTCTATCTCTTTATTGATTTATTTGCTTGTAAGCTTATGCAAAATTGGAGAGTTTTCTTATTTTATGTATATGATGATGTAACAAGGACTGTCTCAATTTGTCGATAATCAATTGTAATCGTGGTTTATGGCCAAAGAAAATAATAATCGTGGTTCAAATCAGTCTATTTCTTCTCTTTATCCTGATGTTCTTCTGTGTTTTTGGACGAGAATTAAAACAATTATGGGTCTAATTAACAGAGACATACGGATCTTAAGTATGTTTTGGGGGTTAGGGGGGGGGGGTCATGGCCCCCCTAAAAGTTTTGAAAAACCTTTCAAGTTTATTGTTTTTTTTTTAATGAATTTGGTCCTTCAAGAATTTTTTTTAATTAACTGGCTCCCCTAAAAATTTTTGGTCAGTACTCCTGCAATTTTGGTTAAGTTCCATTTTTTGTGTCTATGCTGGATGCAATCCAAATTTTGGTTCGACTTAATATTTAAAGGAATTGTGAAAAATTAAAATATTCAGACAATTAAAATATCAAGATTAATATTTTTTTGTGAGCTTATTTTATTTTATTTTATATTTTTCCTAAACATGGAGTAATTGAGGAGAAGGGGAATTGACTTTATAAAGATTAGAAACAAAGTCTTAAACTTTAAATATGCACTTTATCTAACACAATTATTAAAATAATATATAAAAAAATTCATTAAGAATATTTAATAATTTTATAAAAAATTTTAACATTTAAAATATTAAGACGTCTTAATTTTCATCCCTTTTTTTTCATATTTAAAATATCAAACTTGCAATTTAAGTTGAAAATCTTTAGAAATAAAGAAGTTTTCCTAACTCTTGTATTTAGCATGAACTTTTTTTTTTTCTGTGATTTCTAACCATGAGTTCATCATTCCATGGGAATGGGGGCAGGCATGAATGAATGAATGAATGATTTAGCATAAAAATTTGAGAAAGAAAATATGTGTGTTCCAAAATGACCAAAGGGCGTGCATTTCATCGAAAAACTAGCATTGGCAATGATACAATTAATGGTGGGGGGAGGAGAAATATTAGAAATGGGGGAATTGGGGGGCCTAACCTTATCGAGAAAGGCAGCCTCATTTTTTAACACACAATATGAGGAAGCTATTACTATCATAAGTCGTTCGACCCCATCGCATCATATGTCGTCCAACTAATCAATTATAGAATACGAGAGAAAAAGGGTTATAATATAACAGTGCCTAAAATGGCGACAATTATTCAAAATTTACAGACCATCGGTGAGTGTCATGGAAAGGACAACTATTCCTCTTTTGTTCTATTGCATTTTGGTCCCCTTTCTCTCAACTCCATCGTTATAGCCAAAAACTGCCAATATCCCTCTCATTCCCTTTTTCCCTTGATCACATACAATCATGACTCACCTCCAAGTGATGTATGTATTAACTAGTAGTAGTAAAAGTTTTAATCCCCAAATTAAGTTCTGATTCAAACTTTAAATAAATAAAGAGAAATTTTTTTTAAAAAGTGTTATTTGCATTCAAGATAAGTTCGAATGCACAAGCATACTTCTATCCAATTTGCCTCTTTAATTTTTTTATTTTATTAAAAAAAATTGCACTCAACAAATTAGCATTTCTCTTCAAAAAAAATTATAGCCCTTAGAATTTAGAAAGCTGTGTGAAGAAAGGAGGGATGTACTGTTCAGAAATAAAAGGATAACATGGGATGTAGGCTGTAGCCCGCCAATAAAAGGAAAAGCGATGTGGGGATGGGCTACCGGCCAGCACGTGCTGTTGCGACCTTTGCTGGCTCCTATCTCCGTGGGACTCTACAGTGTACAAGGTACAAGGACCACAACTAATCCCGGTCTTCTAAACCTTACTTAGGCCGAAGGAAAAACCTTGCTTTGACTCTACTCTACACTTCACCCCCAACTGGACCCACGGCGCCCACTAGCACCTATAACATATCTATACAAGATTTTATGTAATTATAAAGTTTTTTTTGTTTGTCTAAATTGTACCCGATTAAGAAAAAATAAATTGGAGAAGCCCCACATCTAAGCCCCAATCTAATGCACAAATCATTTCTAATTTTATACTAATATTTTATATTACAAGTTTATTGGTGAGCAAAAGTCCACTTCAACACTCAAACTCTATACAAAGTGTTTTAAAAACTCCTCAAGTTTTTTTCAGCAAATGACCCCATAAACTTGAATTAAGAAATCTTTATTAACTTAAGTTATGCTTAAAATATGTGTACGTTCCTACAATAAGGGGGTCAAGTCATCTTCTAATGCAATAAAAAAGAGTTTATGTTTATAGTTATTATTGAAAGAATAAAACATATGAAGTCACGAGAAAGGTATCTAAAGTAATTAATCAAATTATCAACAAAAAAAGTGATTTTTCACCCATATAATCAAATATTTGAGTCCTCAATTCCTGTCTCTACTCCTTTCCCCCCACAATATTTAAAGTAGCTGGTTTGTTCTATTAAAAAGAAAAAAACACATATGAGGTCACATGTTTCCCTTAACACTTTGGACTTCTTAATCCAACCCATGGAGTATTGAAGTTTTAATGCCTTCTAAATAAAAAAAAAAAAGTTTGGTGACTTCTAGGACACTTTTTGCAAAATTTGATGACTTAAAGGCGTCTTGCCCTTTTTGTTCTTTTATCATGTCGGAAAAAAAAAAAAAAAAACGAGTATCCACGTATATGCGTAATTTCATTTTATAAAGGATTTATTTTTGTTTACCAGAAAAAAAAAAGATTAATTTTTTATGAAGCTTTTTTAATTTTCTGAGATAAGAGAGAATATAATATAATATAATATAATAATAATAGTGAAAAGGAAGATGGTTGATCCGTTTTAAGGGAGAGAGTAGTTGGTTTCAGGAGGGGAGGGAGAGAAGAGTGCATTTGCTCACTCATCGAATGCGGTGGGGGTGACGCCGGAACTGTTGGGGGCGGCGTTGGAGATGGCGGGATTAGAGACTTGACGTCCTTGCGATTTGCAGTTTCCGGAATTCCGGAAGTTGGCTTTTTTTCTTTTTTTCTTTTTCCCGTTTTCCAATTGGATCCTTCTTGTTTTAGCCCTGTTCGATCGGCGGACCCACGGAGGAGTTGCATCTGAGCTGATTACAGCTCCGCCAAAGTGGAGTGTTGCCGGTTGCTCAGGGTTGATTCACCATTTTCACCCCCCCATTCTTGGTCTCTACAACGGTGATGATTCAGGTGCTGATCTTACATTTTGATTTAAAAGGAGAAAATTTTTGTTTTTGCTGAACAATTTATCCTTTAATTAGTAGATCCATGTTTGATTTCAGAAATTTCCGTCTTATTTTGGGATTTAGCAAAGCCTGAATTTGGTTTCTTGATTAAGAGATTGTTGCTCATTTGCTTAGCTAAGATTAGATCCTGAAATTTGAGTAGTTTAAGTGATAATTGAAATGAAGAAATTTCCAAGTTTTTCCTTATGTTTTTCTCTTTCAAAATTGTTCATTTGGGTTTGTGGGGTTTGAGTTTTAAGGCTTTACTGTGGTTGCAGATGAATGTTGGCAGATTTAATTAATGTACTGGAGAAAGATGTCCTTTAAAAGCATAATCCGGGAGCTGAAGGAGCTAAAAGATGGGATTGGAAGCATATCAAGGAGAGGAGGGGAAAGCAGGCATTGGCCTAGCAGGTCTAAATCACATGTTGTTCCTGATCAAGCTCCACCTGAACCTGAGGTCTTCGAACAGAGCCCATGGGCAAATCTGCCACCGGAATTGCTTTTGGACATCATCCAGAGGATAGAAGAGAGTGAGACAAGCTGGCCTGCTCGGACTGCAGTCATCTTTAGTGCTTTGGTTTGTAGGTCCTGGAGGAAAATTACCAAGGATATTGTCAAAACTCCCGAGCAATGTGGAAGGCTTACATTTCCCATCTCATTGAAGCAGGTCATACTCTTCCCACCAATTGAAAATAAATAATAATAATAATAATAAATTCTTATGCTGTTCACTAGAGGATAAGTAAGTTGGCAAGTGAGCTGAATTTACGTAAGAATATGGTTGTAAAAATGTATGTAAAATACATCTTTGCGAAGAAACTTAGATGATATTGCTGCTTATACATTTTTATTTTTCTTCTATCAAATAAACACCATATTGTAGTATTTTATCAAACTGAGAGGAAAAAAAGGTTTATGTGTACAAGCATTTCCATGTCTGAATGAGACGTGTTCCTGTGTCCATAAAAGGTAGCTCTTCAGTTGTTCTTCCCTTTAAGAGTCTTAATTACCTTTAATTACATGCTTGGTGACTTGTTTATTTTTGCATGTGTCCTTTGAACAGCCGGGTCCCCGTGAGTCCCCCATACAATGCTATATAAGAAGGGACAGAGCAACTTCTACATTTCTTTTGTTCCATGGTCTGGTTCCATGTAAGTCATCCTATCCTGTCATCTGCATTTTAACTGGTGACAGATTTAAACTTAAATGTACCTGAAGTCCTGCCATTCTGAATTAAGATTGTATAATTCTCTAATAATTAATTCCTTGTAATTGAATTTGATGAAATTGACTGCCAGGGAAGGTACAGGTTAAAACATTTGCATGTATCTGCATGTCCTCTCCCCCCCTCTCACCCCCCTTTAGGTGTTATGCATTGGTTGGTAAAACACTAACAATACTTCAATCATTGATGTTATCGCATTTGGAATTGTACTAGTTTTTCCAAATCGTATTAGTCTAACAAGATATGATAAAATAAAGATGGACAAAATTTCTTCACTTTCTAGGAAGTTTACACTTAAGTTGTTGCTAAATTACAGCTGAGGGTGAGAAAGATAAATTGCTGTTAGCAGCGAGGAAGATAAGAAAGGCAACATGCACGGACTTTGTAATATCTTTGGTTGCAAATGATTTTTCACGGGCCAGCAACACATTTGTTGGTAAAGTGAGGTTAGTCTGGGACATTACATTATTGTTTATTTTTGTCCTGTAATTCCCTACACATTGACAACATATTGACAACTACTTGTCAGGTCAAATTTTTTGGGTACCAAGTTCACCATTTATGACAGTCAGCCTCCATGTGAGTCAGTAATTCAACCATTCAGTCGATCTACTCGCAGATTCCACACAAAGCAGGTTTCTCCAAGGTTGCCTGCATGTAGCTACAATGTAAGCAGCATCACCTATGAGCTCAACGTACTACGCACAAGAGGGCCAAGGAGAATGCATTGCACTATGCACTCAATTCCAATCTCTGCTATTCAGGAGGGAGGCACTGCCCCAACACCGTTATCATTTGCAAACTCCTTCAATGAGCTACGTTTTTCCATACCAGGTTCAAAAGGAAAGGAATCTGTTGCAGGTACCAGCTCCACAAGTTTCCCAGCCACACCAGTATTCTCCCCAGCCTCTGGAGAGCCACTAATCCTCAGAAACAAAGCTCCTAGGTGGCATGAGCAACTACAGTGCTGGTGCCTTAATTTCAAGGGTCGTGTTACTGTGGCATCTGTGAAGAATTTCCAGCTTGTTGCTGCTGTTGACCAATCACCTAATGTTACCTCCGAAGAGCAAGAAAAAGTAATCTTACAATTTGGAAAGATTGGAAAGGACATCTTCACCATGGACTATCAATATCCACTATCAGCTTTCCAAGCCTTTGCAATTTGCCTGAGCAGCTTTGACACCAAACCAGCCTGTGAATGACAAACAACTTGGTGTAGAATGGAGATACATATTACTGACATTGCCATGGAATATGGTCAACCTCGATCCAAACAAGCCTGCCAATGATAACCTACATACCACTCTCTCCTTGAATGCTTCCTGTACTTTGCTGGTATTTATATGTTCTAATGGAAGCTTATTTCGTTTTTTGTTTAGCATGGTCATTCACTACTAAATCTAAGATGTTATGATCGGAGATTTCAACTTGCATGTTTGTTCAATCAATTTGGCATTATTGGTTTCTAATAAAAAAAGTAAAAAATGCCTTTACTGGTATTAAATTAATGGTAACCACACCACATGGTATCCATCTAGTATACTGTTTTCCAGTTGAAGGAATTCTCTGGGGCCAACGGTTTAACTGTAGTGGCTGGAGTATATTCAAATTTAGTCGGCAAAACCTAAGAACAAGTTTGTTGGGCAGGTCCACAGGAGAACATAATTATCCTCAAAAATACTGTCATTGGGACCCTATTGTGCAGTGAATGAGTGGCTGCTCCACAAGAGAACATATTCCTTTCTTTCTTCTAACGCACCCTGTTGGGCAGGGCCGCGAGGGAACTACCTTCCCCTTCTGTTGCAGAGTATTATTGGGCTAATTTGAATAGAAGTATTGACTGAATAACGTCAGAAAGACTTGAACTTTATGGTTGATTAATAAGCGCAGTGGGTTGGTGTAATTGTCCTGTTAGATATGGAAAAATGGAAAGGAAAGTGGACAAAGAATGGAAATCACAATTGTTTATGCACTGAAGAATCAGGCTTGCCACTTCTTTACGTGACTCCTTTAACTTTGTTGATGCTTGGTAATCGCTTCTCTTAGCATCTCTTCTGCCTGAAGCTTGGCTGCCTTAGATCTTGCGGCATGTGGGGAAACACAATAGGCAACTTGGTGAGTGAATAGAAGAAATCTTTGCAGATTTAGACAGGGACTTGCTGGGAGACCTAATGACAATTTCGCTAGCTGTATTGTCAAAGTTATTCCTTTTCATAATAGATATCAACTCATGTTGCTGAAATGAGATGCTGAAACCTTATAGATAACAGAATAAACCTGAGAGGTTAACATGCTTCTATTTAGTGCAGGTTCTTTGTGGCTCCTGGAAGTAGGTATCAAACTCGAGCTAATCCGTACATGACAATTGAAAAGGTTGGTCAAGTGTTTGCGTTTCATTTCTAGCAAACACACAGTTCGTAGAATTTGCAGTCTCGAACTTCGGATAATCGGATGGTGAAATTTAACGTAATAGCAACGCGATGACAGAAAGGAATCTATTTCTACTGCAAACAAAAAACAACAAAAAATAGAGGCCAGAGTAACACCATGGAATCTCTTACTTTTCCTGGATAAAGAAATATCATCATAACTGAACAATACAAAGGAAAAGACTGAAAACAGCCCTACTTAGGCTGCTTTATGCCTGTATACTCAAAGGTAGAAAACCATAAAACTACACATTAACACAATCATCTCCTTTACGTTAGCTTTGGCAGACACAAGACGACGATAATGTTACAGATACTACTGCTTTCTGAGAAGCTCCTCGTTTGAAGCAAGCTGTGCCACACAATACGACAATATATATGCTTCATTCTGATCCATCCAGAGGGTCAAATGTTTCTCATCTCACGGTAGAGTAAGTGATGAATTCAATTGAAGTAAATTGAAATGGATGGCATGGAATGGGATTCCTGGAAGAGAGCATTTAATGTAAAAATGGCATGAATTTGAATAAAGTTAATCACAACTGACGAGTAAAAGAACAAAAGGATTAGGAAGACGCACGGTTGAGGCCCGTAGACTTTGATCTGGAGAAAATGGGTATCCCTCCCATTGAGATGATTTGACAACACAGCAAATTGCAACATGAAGGTACTGACAAAGGTTCCCCTGTGATACCAATTTTGCAACTGCTTCAATAATTAGGCAAAGTGCCAATCTCATGGCCCAGTTTCAGACAATCAATGTTTATCAGCCATTCTATGGCAATAGAACCCTTAGTGATGAAATTTAAAAGGCCGGCATATGTAATTCCAACTAACTAAAAAACATAAACACCTCAGACTGTTTATTTAGGTCATGTATCGTATGTCACAAGAATGAAAAATGTCAAATTGAAACTTCCAAAGAAAATCCCTTCACCATCACTAGGGGAGTGCATGATTTTCTCGCCATCTTTTCTTTTGCATGGTAACGTAATCAATACAAAAGATATAACTTGATTCAACCTTGTTTTAGATTCCATAACGAAGTACCATAACAGAATCAATTAAAGCAACATATTCTTTGATGCTTATATCCATGACTTACACGACATTCTAACATTCAAAGATTTTTTCTGACTTCATATCACTCCAACACTTTTTGCCCAAGGAATCAAAGTCTCTTAAGTTTCCATTAAAGAACAAAAATTGGTCATGTAATGTAGTAAATTGCTGTAAATCGTAATAGATGCAATGATTGTAAAAAATATCAGCATAATCTCCAACAGAAAGAAACAAAGGATTAGCCAGCAAATAATAGACAGAATAATAGCAGAAAAACTGCATCAAAACAACACCATCGCCAACTCACTGAGGATCATTTCCGGACAAGGATAGATAAATCCAACCAGTAGGCCTTACAAGCTCCATAATCTTAATTTCCTGTGTAACCATTTACAGAAGACACAGCCAAATTAACCAAGTTAGAAGTTTGGAACTTACAAAGTTTTGAAGATGAAAATAGATTGAACAATGATGTAACAAGACATGTAGATATAACTTCAAATTGTGGAAACCATCACCAGCTCTAACAGAGATTTTACTGGGCGTGTAGCTCTCATCCAGCTTGAAATCCACATAAAGGGCAACTAATTTCAAAAAGAAACAAAATCCCACAAAATTGCAATCAACCCATGAACGCCCATCACCAAAAATCATTAAAAGTTCAAAGAAAAACAGCAAAAAAACATACTTGCAGCTTGACCTTCTTCTGGAACCTACTATTCACCAAATGTGGTTGCGCTCCATCTGATCTGCTATACCCACCAAAAAAAAAAAAAAAAAAAACCATGAGGAGATTCGGGAAAACTGGGGAAGAAGGCAAAAAAAAAAAAAAAAAATTGAGAGTGAAATGTGGGAGACTTAGAAGAGGTAGTGGTTGCTGTAGTTACTGCCAATAGGTATCAAGGTTGTCGTCGCGGAGGTGGGAGACCCCATTGCTGGGCTTGCAAGAGCTGACACTCCAAGAAGCAATCTTTCCCATTTCTCTGAGATCATCTTCAACCATGAGGCGCTGATTCCCCCGGTTATCTTCCCTTCTTCTTCCAACTCCGATGATTCTGTTGCCATTTACGATAAAACCCTACTTCGATTTTGCAGAAAAAACCTTAATGCATAACATAAACTTTCATCTGATCGGACTGGTATTTACCCGCCAACTTGTGTTCTTAATTAAGCTTACGCATTAATTTGTATATCAGTTGAGGAAATTTATAATGCAAGTACTGCAAAATTAGGAAATTTTAATTTGATGCAATCAGTTTTTCAAACTTCCCATTTAGGACCATAGACCAACTTCATGCTTTCAATAAAGTTGCCATATTTTCCAAAAGACCATGTAGATCCTGCCTTTTTATTTCCTGTTAAAGGGTTTCACATTGTCTTTGGGATATCACAATGATAACAATTTGAATTTTCATGTTAATAATTTTAAATTCAAATATTGCTATGGAAAAATAAGTGACTTGATGAAGAAGAGAATAACTATTTTATATTATATTTTTTTAATAATTAAATATACAAAAAAAAGTATTCTATTTTCATTTTTACATAATAGAAAAGTAATATCTTTTAATTATTAACAAAGATAAATTTTAATATTGGAGTGATTCTCTCTCTATCAATAATTATAAAATATGTAATTCATGCAGAATGAATTGTAAAATTATAAACTCTTTGCATAATTAAAAAACTAGTCTCAACTTAACCATCCTCTTGCCCATTGTTGGTTAAAATGATAAGAGAGTAGAATCCTTCATGGTGCAATGAAAAAGGAAAAAAGGAAAAAGAAAGAAAGAATTCAAGTGGGGTTTGGAAACTTCAATACTACAAAATAAATTGCAAATAGCTACAAGTTGGGCATGGTAGTAGGCCCAGTCTGTATGCTACTGTCTTCCCCTTTCATTTTCACTTACATTACCCCTCATACCCCCACAATGATCTAATGTTTCCAACCAAAATTCCCGTCATTTTCTGTTCCTATCAACTTTAATGGTAGCAATTGGTTGTGGTCCTCTTACCCTTCTTCTCCTCATTCACATTCCAATAAGACATCAAGATTCATTTTATAATGGAAACTGAAAAGATGCTGACAATATACGATGGACACAACTTGTCATTTATACAGTGATACTCAGCAAACATGTTAAAAAAATCATGATAGATTAACAATTGACTATGCATCTAGCAAAAATGGTTTGCTGGGGGAATGGTATCCAAAATTACATTTCTTGCTGTGAGTGATGCCTGCAAAACCAGTTCATAAGTTCTATATTCTGTCCCATATAATGTAAACAGACGAGGAAAGCTGCTGATGGAAGATGATTCTGCTTGTGAAACCCTCATATATGGAAATAAAATGCAGCAGGCATCGTGGGAGGTTGAATATTAGTTGATAGTTCTGCAATAAACAAAGGTGAATGCCAGTGCTTTACTGAAACCCCATATTGCACTCGCTGTGAAGGCCTTGTGAATCCGCATTCCAAGTTGAAAAGGGTTGGAGTTGCTGCAACATAATTTTGATACATGTAAGAGATGGTACATAATAGCAAAACGAAATCAAAGTAGACATGAAACCAGCTAAAGCCTAAAAGCAGCAGGGTGTAGGAAAAATTACTGGAACACAGGATGAGTTGAGAGCCTGCTGGGGGATGGATAGAGAGGAACTTGAGTTTCCTCCAATTTCTGCTTGAGGGGTATGCATTGGCACCTCTAGCATGCAACTTGTGGATCCTTGTTGTGCAAGGAAAAACTGAAGGCTGGCCAGATTGGTCATTGCTGGCAACTTAGCCGCTGCTGGAAAATTGGGGATATAAGCAGGAAACTTCGCCCCATGATTATTTAAGCACGAGTCAGTTACAGAACAATTTGCTTCTGGCTATGGATTTCCTCCAATAATCATTGAAGAAAAGAGAACTCTAGAGTTGAATTTTTACCTCTTTTGCAGCGAAGTTATCAATATTGAATTCTAGATTTGGATTTAGAGTAGCAAGTTTCATAGACAGGAACTGCAAAGTAGAATTCAACAGGATAAGATGAGAGAAACATAAGATTACGGAGTTAAATTAAGGTATGGTGAATTCATGATGTTACCTCAACTTGTCTTTGAAGAGATTGAACATAGTTGATTATTTCATCAAGCATTCCTGCTTTTCCAGTGACTTTATTGCATCCTGGTACTAAATCTTGTAAACACTTCATCTTCCTACTGATCTTTTCTCTCCTGGCCTGAATATCAGATAAAAACCCAATAACATTGGATTAAGACAGTTTTTTAGTCTTTTAGTTCAAAACTCTGCAACTTACTCTTTCTGCTAAGCTGTGGCTGTCAGTGGCCTGGCCACGCCGTGCCCGTACATGAATGTAGTCAGGCTTCTGAACATTGGATGCCTTGGAATTTTCCTTTGAAGAAGTAGATGCTGAAATTTCTGCACTGCAATTTGCTTTTATATCTGATCCCAGTCCTCCCTCTCCTCTATTTCTCTTTTGTTTACCCTTCTCTTCTGCAGCAGTCTGAACAATAGAAGTTTAAATGCCTTAACAAATGAAAACATATGAATTTATAAACAACAGAGAAGCAAAAATGAATGAATATGTGAAGACAGAGAAAAACACCTCTGCTTTTCTCTTATTTGCTTTGGACTCCATTTTCTCCATCAAAACCACATCTTCTCCTTCCGCTTTCATGGTCACCGTCTCCATGGCTGCAGCAGTGCTTCCAGAACTCCAAGAAGCAGAGTGATCCACTGCAGCCTCTGGTACCACAAAACCCATCTTACTGGCACCAAACTCCACTCCATCAGCATGAAAACTGCTGCTAATGAAACCTTGAAACTGGGACACAGAATTTGAACTCAATTCAACAACATGATTTTGTTGCTGCAGCCATTCCATCCTTGCCTGTTGTCTCTCAAACACAGTCATGTCAGTACCGTCAAAGGTCCACATTTCCGGTAAGGGCAGACTGTGTAACATCTCTGGAGAAGAAAAAGGAATTTCTGGATATGGGTTATCCGTTCTTACTTGATACAAACCCCTTTCAAGCAAAAAGAGATCACTTTGAATGGATTGTTGCAAAGATGAAATCATAGGAAATATATAGAGAAAAGGGAGTGGCTAAAGAAAGGGTAAAAAGGCAGAGAATCAGAAAGGATACTGAGTCATCAGCGGAAGCTGCGGGAAATGGGTCCCAATGACATAACCGCCATGTGAGGATGTCCAAGCTTGGTGGAGATGGCATTTAAATCAACTAAAGTTAGTATTTACAAAACAAAATTTCACCACTAAAGGAAGGGCTCTAACCACCTGAGCTACTCAGCTCCACAATATTCATTCCCCAAGACAAAAGAATCTATCCAGTAGTAAACAGGCACAGATTGTAGAAAATAGTTGTGGTTTCATAACTGATCTTAGTAGAATTTTTGTTACACCGCTAAACGACTAATGTTCATTAGGAATCTGACAAATCCACGCCTTAATTCTTTTCCTTAGAATGAAATGACATAAGAAAAAGAACGAAGTGACAGAAGAAAAAGAATCACTAATGAGGACAGGCATCAGCACATATGTTGATTTTTTTTGAGGTGTTATGTGCTACAGCTAAGAGTAACCACCATATTACATACAACCAAAACAGACACCCTGTTGTTTCCTAGGATTGCATTACAGGACAAACCTGTTAATTCTTAAAATAATTCAGATTTACAAGGTATCTACTATACAAAATTAGCCTTGCAACTCGGATAAGGACAGGGATTTGTGTTACAAATCTTTTTTTTTTTTCCTTGACAGAGAATATTATACCATAATCTGGGGTTATTGAATGGATTATACTAATACCAGTAACCACCAACAGCGTGTGCCAAATTATGCCAGCAAAAAAAACAAACTCTACCAACCATAACTCCGTATCATCCAAGGAATTCACATCACGAGACACGATACTGTGCTAATTATTAAATGTAGAACCAAGATTGACAAGCACAGAAAGATATCTCCATTTTCTCATGAATATAAACCAGATCAAGCCAATCTCATAGAACCCTTATGTGCAGTGCCAAAACATCAATTCGGATTCAGATTAATGGCTTTTGCATTTGGAGCTTTGTTTTATGCTGAGCACATCAAGTTGCAAGGGATATGGTTAGAAATAAGGGACAGTAATAGTATTAGAGTATGATATTTAACATTGATGAAGAAAGATAGTGCATCACATCGAAGGGCCCAGTTATATCAATAAATTAGCTTGAATAATGGGTATGAGGATAAATATGATGGTCGGATGGGGGACCTCTTCTCACTTCATATGGGTTTGTCTCCACTGGATTTGGCCATGGAAGATGCATACTACCCTACCCATCATATTAGTCTTAAGCTTAACCCCACCTCTGGCTATATTGTCCCCTGTCAATCCCTTCAACGTACCTACCGGGGATGGACATTGCAACCAAATTCTTCTAAGTTTATGTTAGTGTCTGGTCAATCCCTTCAACGTACCTACCGGGAATGGACATTGCAACCAAATTCTTCTAAGTTTATGTTAGTGTCTGGTCACGGACATCAAGGAGTCCAGACAAACATATGTAATTTCAGATGATCCTATAGTACTAAGCTCAGTGAACTTCAAATAATATTTAAGAGGGGAAAACATACCTTTACAGACTGAAACCTTGCTGGTGATATCAGATAATGGCATTCTTTGCAGGAGTAATGGAGCCCTGACAAACAAGGAGAAACTACTGCCTGACAAGAAAGAAAAAAAGCAGATCATAAAAGCAGCATATTCGAAGTTAGCGGTTGAATGCAGCTATGCTGTATGAAAAAAAATTCAGTACTAACATGGTCTGGCATCCACATTATTTTTCCGAGGGATCCTTATGGTAAAAGAATTCAGCAAACCTCACCTTCCAATTATTTCTTTTACTAGAATGGAAACCTTCAAAGAAAAGCAAACTATATGTGGAATACCCATCCTCCTTGAGAAAAACTGTACATTTTTATCATTTAATACACTGCACACTATATCTATTAAAAAATTAATATTTTTTATTCTAAAATTAAAATTAAATAAATTTAAAAATACAATCATGTGTGTAACATATAAAATCTACCTATTTTCATATTATATTTTAATAACTAAATTAGGTAAATGTTTAAGAAGTATAGTAAAACAAAAAAATATTCCAATCATTTTCTAAAGTATATAGGCAGAAAGGGCTGTACGTACATCATATAAATAATCAGGTCTAGAAATATAAATAATCAAGTCTAGAAAGAATGTACATCATGGACATTAGTGAGCCAGACAAAACGTTCACCTACTAACTACACCTAGCTACAACATGATGATACTAATGCCACATTCCAGAAAAGAAAATCGCTCTAGGCAAAGGGAAACTATCTAGTGGGTAAATTCTTTGTACAAAAAAAAATCAATAATAGCAGAATATCTAAGCTTCATTTCTTCTTCTTTGATGTGAAAATTTTGAAAAGTCCTGATGTCTTATGAGACGACTCCTCCTTTTTGGAATAGTTGCTAGCATCTTCAGACGTGACAAGATCAGATCCAAAGCACTCTTGTTCAGCATCATAGTTCATATTTCTCAGGATCCGCAGCAGTTCCAATGCACTTGCCCTTCCTTTATAGGTTCCATTGACAGATATATCGCAAAGGGCTAGGATAACACCCTCAGCCATGGCTAACTGACAACAATATTGAACACTTTGCGAGCAAAAGGAAAGGAGAACAATCATTGCATTCTCTTGGTCCTCACAACTGCCAATCTCAAGTATTTCAGCAAGAGAAGCAATGCATCCAGTAGTTGAAGCGATGGAAGCTCTAGCCTCTTTGTTCTTGCAAAGATTCTTAAACATGATTATACAGTATCTTGATAGTGTCTTATCACGTAAGAGTGGGAACAATCTAGAGATGCAATTCAACGATACCAGATTAGAACAAACATCACTGATTGAGGAGAGATTACACAAGATTTTAAGGGCTTGTTCCCGGAATTTTTGGACATGCGAGTCAAGAATCTTCACAAGGGAAGCAAGAGAACCGGATGCAGCAATCTTAGATCCACAGATGGGGTTCTCAGACAACACTTCCATAACATCAAGAGCATCTTCAGCCACCTCTGATTCAAGAAAAGATGACAATAGAGTAAATGCATCTTCATCCAGATGGTGTATTCCATTCCTGTAAGGAGCAGCCTAAGCAATGAGAAAATTGCGGTACTCACACATAAAATGAGAATGAACAATGATGAGTCAAATTAATTAAAACGACAAACGTAACTGGTGCTAGATCCTCAAATGTCAAAAGGTAATGCAGTTCCACAATAGAAACCAAGATGTTTTATGTGAACATGAGACTTTACAATTACTGGAAAGAGAAACCAGAGAATAATGGTAAAACTCCTGGGTACTCATGAGACAGTTGGGAAAATACTAAAGTTTACCCCGAATTGACATAACATGTCACTAGATTTAGTACCAAAAGGTCCAAAACCAGAGAAAAAATACCTGTTTTTGCTAACAAATGCCAGTAGCAGCTGAGTCCCAGCTCTCTGAGCCCTTGTATCATGTAAATCACTGGCATTTCCCAAAAACTTGATGAGAGGTTCAAGAAAATTTTCAGATGATAGAGAATGGAAAGCTTGGGGATTATATTTCAAACGATCATTCACATCTTCAACCACATTGCATTGTAACTCCCAATGAAGCTCAACAAGCTTAGACATAGATTCCAGCACTGTCTCAGTGACATTTGTGGAAGGCTGATACCTGCAAAAATCATCAGGCCTCTGCTCTGATTTCAAACATAACCCTTCTGTGATCTTGGGACGTGAGTCATCTGAAGTAGAACTGTTATCTAAAGATCCAAGTGACATATTGCTGACATTTGCTGGAATGTGTAACTTATTTATAGAACTGCCAAAACTAGAAATGGAAGTGGAAGAAGTTTCCAAAGAGTTAACTCCAACTGGTTGCACGCTTGGGTCAGAAATGGTGATTCCACTCTTCATACACCACTGTAATATTATATCCCTCATGAGAGCATTTGGAGTAAAAGATTGGTGAGCCAATTTCATTTTGGTTTTAGGACATAGGTCATTGCCCTCATCAAACCATTTCTGGATCCAAACCCTCTCAAATGTTTGTCCAGAAGCAATGACAACTGGATCATACATCAATCTTGAAGATAAGAGGCACTTGAATTCCTCTGGGGGTATGGCTCTACTTATTATGTCAGGTTGAGCCTCATACTGCCCACATTCCACATGTGCTCCTGCTTCAATAGATTGACCATATGGAGAATTATCACCATGGTTCTTAAGCACAGATGATCTTTCTTGCTGATTACAAGAATTCTCTCTTTGCTCTTCCAGAACCAAGTTCCCATGGCTGACTAAAAGATACAAAAGGTATTTTAGGATCTTCCTTTTTGGGTCACCATCACCTATTTTATCAAGTAGCCTCTTAATAGATCTTTTCTCTACCAAGATATCCTTTGGAGATGCAATGCCCAGCCTCAAAACTGCAATTTTAATAGCTTTCACTTCAGCATTTCCTATTGGGGCAGATTCTGTAGCACCAGGTTTTAGTAATTCTAGTACAACCTTCCCAGCCTCTTCCTCAGACGAGTCCAAGAGAAAAACTGCACCTTGAAGATCATCAATAACGTGAGAAATCTGCAAGAAAATTCCATTGTCACCTTAACTAAGTTTTAAAAAAGAAAATAAAAATTACAACAACATTAAGAAAAGAATACAGTAGTACAACCTGCTTTATTATTGTAGAAACTAGTCCAGAAAAATAATTAAAGGGATGAGCCTAATCCCACAGAAGGATTTGCTACGTCCATGCAAATCCTACCTGTGGGCCCTGCACATCCACTCAGTTGAAAATGCATTGCATAACAGGATTTGATGCATCTATTCCTATCTGGCTTAGAAATAGCTCGATGGGACAAAGGACCATGAACAATAGAAAAGAAGTGAAAAAAAAAGGTACTGGATTAAGAGTTCATTCATTTGACAAACCTCAACAGCCAACATAACAGGAACCATATGTTGAATTTGGCCTAAACTTTGTTCCAACAACTCTCTAGCCCTTTGACATTTTGAAACTATCGCTTTCCCTGTTACTGCCTGAAAAGTAAACAAGATTACCATTAACTATAAATCTTACTGCCCAACTACATTGTTTAATGTTGGCCTCTATAATTAGCAAACTCAAAAATGGTAGATTGATTACAAAGATACACACCAGAAAGAGCTTGCTGGACTCACTGCAGTACTGCAAAAGTAACTTGGCTCTCTCAATAGCATTATTCAATGAACAGAGAGCCTGTAAACCTGAAGAGCATCTTGGTCGAGCTGCCTCTATTTCTGGAAATATGCTTACTACTTTATCAACCACTGTCATGAGTTCTGTGCACATTATGCTATGTACCTACAGTCATGAACAACAATTAATTTAGAAATAATTCTCAAGTTAACAAGTTTCCTCAAAACTTCATTCGGTCACATTCAGATATGAATTATATTGGCAGCCCATGTCATCTCCCCTTCAACAGTTCAACCAATGCACAATTATACCTCTCTACTTCCCATCCAGATACACCAAAATCATTTGAAAGAAGGAGAAGAAAGGGATCCATCCTACCATTCTGAACTAAAACATTGCAGAATCTTTTAGTTATGTGTTTTCCATTATTGGAGTTTGAATTGCCAATAGGATTAAAATTCCACCAAAAAGGATATCATGTTGCTTTTTTTTTGCATAAAGAAAGAAAAATCAAAATATGGATGCTTTTTATCACACATAGAAATGTGCACCAAATGCATCATGGTCTAATAAATAAAGATTTATTCCTTTCCATACAGAAAATATTTTGAAATACATATGCAGCGAGAATTCTTTAAAACCAAAAACTCCATATTTAATGTTTATACCTTAAAGCAACGAGGGTAAGGCAGATTCTCCAGTACTTCAAGAAGAGTCCCCATTCAAAAGATAAGTTCACTTGCTGAAAATATAGATGAAAAGTCAATCAAATCCGGGAATAGAGAACTCAACAAAACATGTTTACAAAGGGGAAACAAGAAACTTATTCTGTTTCAACCCCTTCATACGTGTGTTTTAGGATTTTGTGTATCTAACGACTGAAGTTTACGTTGGTGCAGAACAATAACATATGGAAGATATTATGAATTAAGACTACAGCAGAAGGAAGAAAAGAAAAGAAAAGAGAAACAAGTTAAACTAATATGCATATTATGCAAATTCCAAACAAAGTCTTCATTTCAGGCCTTTCTTTCTACAACAACCACTGCTTGATTATTTAAAACTACATGCCCAAATGTTTCAAAATGAGAGAAAGTTGAAATAAAGGGTAAACTTTTCCATTGATTTTTCACTCCTAGAAAAGGAAAAACATGCAGAAAAAGATGAAAAGATCAATTATTGATGTAAATGCTATTTCTTGTGTTACTTGTTTGGTGAAATAAGTTTCAAAACAATAATCAGAAAGTAAAGTAAAATGAAGAATAAAAACTAACCTCCTGACTCCAAAACAAGACCGATAGATGCAGTTGGAATTGGAAGCAACTTAACAACTCCAAATTCTACAGAATTGAGACTCAGAATATGCAAAATTACCAAAACCTATTTCTTAACCAACTAAATCTCCCTTAAATAAACCCACAGCCTCAAGAAGATATCAGAATTACACGTTTGAACCCCAGAAAGAAAGACTCTTGTTTCTGCAATTTCAAAAACTGTTAAAAATTTCCCTCAAATCTCATCTGTCAGTGTCAAAGTATTTCTCTTGCACCTCTCCCATAAATGAGCAAGGTAAAGAGCAAACGGAAGTTTAAAGAACCATATCCAGACTCAGATTGCACCATCTTCTTTCTCATCAAAACCCCATTTCCTATATGAAAACTCCAATCCTTAAAAAGTCATTTTCATAAAAATGAAAATAGCAGCCAAAAAGATCCCTTTAAACTAAGATAACCAAGAAAAACGAGAACCCATAAGAAAAAGTTTTCTCAGTAAAGCAGAACATGCTTATAAAGCAAAAAATTTGCTCTGGAAGAGAAGAAAAAACAATACTTTATCTTAGTTTTGACTTGGGCAAAATGGCGACTTGTTTGTCAACTTGCTGTATCTTTTTGCACAGCTACGGATTTGCTTGGCTTAAGTTTTCTTCGTCGCCGATTTCAAAGGGCGAAGAAGAGAAAAGGTCTTTTAAACACAAACATTTATTGGTTTGTTTTAAAATGTGATTTTTATGGTGTGCATTTAAATTTTAAAATTTTAAATTTAATATTATTGTTTATTTTTATAAAATAAATATGTAAGTAAATTTATTTTAAATATATGTAGCTAGGTTTATATATTTTATTATTTTAATTTATGCATTTAAAATATCTTCTAATCTCATGTATTTTAAATTTAAATTTATATATTTTAATTTTTTTAATAAATAAATTAAATATTAAATTTATTATTATATTAATCTAAATAATAATTTTTTTTTTTGAACATTTTGACACTGGACAGGTTCGAAACTCAAACAGAAAAAAGAAAAATGCACCTAATAAACTGGCTAATGCCAGTGTGCCTCTACGCCCAAGTGCATCTAAATAATAAATTTAAAAATATATATTTAAAATTATATATATTTCTCCCAAATACGAATTCAAATTTCCAGACATATTAATTACCCTAACATGCCTGTGAATTGAAATGCACTTGATGACACTTTAATGGATCGTACTTCGTCAAATCCGACGGCAAGAAAGGAAGTTACACGTCCGTACCAAGGAAACGCTGACATTTCCATGCACGGCCATGGAGACTCCGTTGAACACCAAAGAAAAGTCCTTGCATGAACAAATTAATTAAAAGTCAAACAAAAACCCAATTCAAGAAAATTTCAGAGTTTCTTAATTGTTATTAGTTTCTTGCTAATTTAGTTAATTAGAGGTTGCATGACTATGATTTGGTGGGAGTAAACTGGAAAAAGCAAAAAAAAAAATGTTATTAAAAAAAAAAAGGCAAAAGCAAAGGCACAAAAGACCAAGATTGCTCTTACTTGGTATGTTCTTTAGGACTTTTGAATTACATGGGAGTTCGTAAATTGTCTTTCTTGATGTTCAAACTTTATCGGCTACTGGGATTTGTTGTTCAATTTTGCCAAGGTATATTGGAACAATTAAAAGTCAACTGTTAAATTGACACTCAGATAAGGTCATAACATGCTACCTATGGATTTTTGGCTTCTGGTATGAACATGTTACATTCATGATTCATGGATGCCAGCTGTGTAACCTGCGGGCCAGGTAACTGAACCCACTAGGTCTCCATAATGAGAAAAGGTAGTATTGTCATCTCACAGGAAAGATGTGAACTTTTCCCATCCAAACAAAACGTTTGAAACGCAAATGTACAATAGCTATAGGGGACAAGTTCATAGACAAGGGAAAGCTACCTGAAAATGAGGTCACCAATCTGGTTTATCTTAATTAGTCTGCATTACAGTACAAACTATGTCCCTTAGGGCCTCAGTTATATTAATTAACTGCCTCATATCTCATCCAAGTGATTCGGTCCACAGATCTATTACCACCTTAGAACTTCTTTAGATGGTTCCTGGATGCTTACACGTTCAATATGTATGAACCTCTTGGCGCATGCAATGATAGCCTCTAGAGAGCAAAGCACAAAAAGATGCTTCAGTTCGGCAGAAGCGGGTTCAAATCTCATTATCTCAGTTAGCATTTTCCTGAGGTTAAAATCTCATTTTGGTCCTTGAACTATTATATAGCCCTTGATTTGATCTCTAAACTCAAAAATCTCCAATTTGATCCTTACTATTACCATTTTACCCCAATTTAATCATTCGGTTAAAAATCTACCCACGTGTTTGTTGACTAACAAAAACTTAATGTACACGTCAAAATATTATGTCCACGTGGAAAGCCAATTAGCAAAAAAATAATAATTTGGCAATAAAAATTTTAAAAATTCTCTCTTTCATCTTTCCCTTTCTCTTTCCTCTTCCTTTCCTCGCCTTCTTCATCAATCAATTCTACTTCTTCATCAATCAATTCTACTTCTTCATCAATTAGTTCATCATCATCAAACAACACTCATAAAAACACAGAAATTTTTTTTTTTATTTTTTATCGATGAACCCAACGTCGAGTTTGAATTCTTCTTCATCAATCAGTTCATCATTATTATCAAACAACATCCACAAAAACACAAATTTTTTTTTTAATTTTTTGCTAAAGAACCTAGGCGTCGAGTTCTGAGTAACCCCGAGCCTAGGTTCGATAAACTCAGCGTTGGGTTCCAAGGAACCCGGGGCCTAGGTTCGTCCAAACCAAAGCCAGGTTCTAAGGAACCCAAGCGTTGGGTTCCTTGGAACCCGACACTGGGTTTGTCTGAACCCAACACCTGGGTTCCAAGGAATCTCAAGCCTTGGTTCATCCGAATCCAAAGCCGGGTTCTAACTTCTAAGGAACCCAGGCCTTGGGTTCCTTGGATCCCGACACTGGGTTTGTCCGAACCTAGCACCTGGGTTCCAAGGAATCCCAAGCCTGGGTTTGTCTGAACTCAAAGTCGGGTTCCAAGGAACCCCAAGCCTGGGTTTGATGAACCCAACGTCGGGTTCCAAGGAACCCAAGCATTGGGTTCAATCAAACCTTTGGGTTCCAAACCCTAAGGGGAAAGAATAAGGGGAAAGAAAAAGGAAGGAGAAGAAAAAAAAGAAAAAGAAAGAATTTTTTAAGTTTTTTGTTATATTATTATTTGTTTCCATGTCATTATTTTTTGTCATGTTGTTTTTCACATAGAATAATATTTTGATATGTCATCATTTTACTATAAATTAACGGTATACGTCATGTAATTTTTAACGAAATGATCAACTCGGGGTAGAAATGGTAAACAGTAAGGATTACATCAGGGATTTTTCGAGTTTAACGACCAAATTAAAAGTTTATACAATAGTTTAGAGACCAAAATGAGATTTTAATCTTTTCTTGACCAACTATTCTTTTTTATTCAAAGATTCCATCAGAAGTTCTCATGCTTATAGTGACAGATATGGACTGGGCAAAAGCAGTGGACTGACTTTTCGGCCCCAAAGGTTAAAGTTTTCTGGTTTGTTTGATCCATATAGAAGAGTATAGAATCAAAATCTTAGGTCATTATCTACACTTTGAACGTCTACACAGGTCTATGGAGACATTTTCATTCCTGTCATGGAATCTAGCTAACCACAAACAAATCAAGGACTATCCAGGCATCATATGATGATAAGGACGGATATGTAACTTCCCAAGGCTCTACATGTAAAATTGGGAATAGCCAGACCGGAGTTGGCACCTGTTACTTAGTTAGGAATGCGGTGATAACTGTTAAGTGAAAAAATTTTACATCAAGTATAAAAATAAGAAAATTGTGAGTTAAATACAAAGAATACCACTCCACCTATTATTAATTAGTTTTAGGTTGAATGCAAGTCTTGCATTGAATTTACATACACAATTTTCACGTGATATCAGAGCTCAAGTTCTATCCTAAGAAGTTATACTGGGCGTGTTAAGTCATATGATAGGACTCGACATCCATAACGGGGCCTACACGTGAGGGGTTAAAAAACTTGTGGGTCAAATATAAGGAAGTTCATTCCACCTATTGTCAATTGATTTTAGGTTGGATACACATGCATAATTTTCACAATAATTGATAAGATTCTGGATATCATTAGTAAGATGATGTATGAAAAGCATTCTGATTCTCTCCACTATTTCCCCTGTCCCTCTCATCCAGTCATTAGCCCCCAGCATCATTTTCACTTTTTTTTCCACGAACCAACTAAAGAACATTAGCTAGTTCTCCAAAACCACTGTTATGCAAAACCTGCTTTTAATATAAAACTAGAAGGAAACATCATTCTAGTGAGGATAAATGGATTCTAGGGCAAGTCCAAGAGCTGAGAGAAGGTAGCTGGCTTGTTTTATTAATTGTTTAGCTCAGTGGTTCTAGATTCTAAATGAATAAAGTCACATATTATCGAACTTATAATTCCTAATAATACGAAGCAAAACCAGAATCAAATTTCTGGATTCTAGCAACGAAAAATATGCTTGCAGAGTTCCATTTGCATAAAGTCAATCCATCCAAAGTTGCTTGGGGGGTAAGGTTCTGGAATCTGCCATGATATATCACCTCAAGTTGAGAAGAAATATACCTCATGCTGGAAGCAACAAATCTACTTTTTTAAGGAAGGAATTCAGACCATATCTTGGTTGGAATAAATATAATAGCAAGTTGAAGTATCAATAGTCACATTGTGCATCCAAAAAGAAAAGAAAATAACAAGAAAGGGAAAAAGAGCCACAATGATAAAATCAGCAAGTAGAAGCTTGATGTCTTGCTTCAAAATTAATACCCTTCAGTTAAGCGGTTATTGTAGCATAGTTTTAGGTGTTGAATCGATAGAAAAACTATATTGAACCAACAAAAAAAGTTGTCACAATAAGAAAATAAATTAAAAGATGATTTCTAAAATTAAAAATAAAAATAAAAGATAATAATTATAGAGAATTGAAAATAATATCATGAATGAGACTTTAGAGTTCACTTAATTGATTTGTTTAACTGTTATAAATTTTGATTTTTATTTATTACTCAATTGTATGTTTCACATCCCAAACAAATAATTGAAAGATTTAACTTTGAAGACCAATAATACTAACTAATGTATTTATTTTGAGAGAAATTAATTTCAATAAAGAACAAACTAATTTATCATTATGAGCTATCTGAAAATGACAATATATCTAATCAACAATACTATAGTAAATGATCAATCCACAAAACAAATTTACTAATAAATTATATTATAACAAATTACACATAAAAATAGCATTACTAATCTTATATGAAATTTGATAAATATAATTTTTAAAGTGTTTAAATCTAAAAATAATTAATAATCTCTCAAAAATAAAATTAAACAATAAAATTTATGAATAAATTAAAATAAAATAACAACTTAAACTCCTCAATTAAAATTCTCTTTAATCTTGTTAAAAGTATAGTTGCACTTCAATATAATTACCTAACTTTAAAGAAGAAAATAAAAGCTTGATAGCAGCCTCTCCGACCTCCTCAATTCTGAACTTGGATAGGTATTTGTAAGGTTTTAAGAACCTTAACTAGAATGGTTGTGGGACCTGCTGCATTGCTGAAAGTTCCGTAAGGGGCGACACCCTTTAGAAAGTGCCGGCACGTTGAGTGGAGCGCCGACTGCATACTCCGTGTCGGGTTTTTGGCTTTTTGTGCAATTTTGGTTAATGGCAGAATAACAGTCCTGGTCCCTGACTCCTGGATTCTTCGCAAGTTGATATCATATTTCTGATCTTTGCAATTTGCTCCTTAATCAAGAATGGAGAAAATCTCACTTGACCCTTCAAACTTCTAAATTTGATCCTTGGACCCTCATCTTTCTGGCTCTTTATATTTGAGTCTTTTTTTTTCGAATTCTCTCCATTTAGTTATCAAACCTTCAATCATTAAAATTTTGTACAACATAAATAGAATGAACAATTATGAAATTACTTATAAAAAAATACAATTCTTAAACCCATAATTTCACAAATGTCAATGATTAAACACATTTTAAATATACATTTTTATGTTTTCATCAAAGGTATTCTAAGATTTGGTCAATTCAGTTGAATGACAAAAAAAAAAAAAAAAATATTTATATCTTTTTTAGCTTGAAATTTTAATGAAGCACATTAAACCACAGGCAGTAAGATCCCGAAGGGTTGATTATCAAGAAGTAACAGAACCGGGCTACTTTTGAACAATTTTTCTTTTCTCATATAGAACTTTCTAGCTGCCATTTGCGCACACCGAGTGCTCGCACACACACAGAGTGGTGCTCAAAAGTCAAATAGGATACTGACCTCAAGTAAAACAATGACGTGTCCGTATTATATGAACCCTTCTTCACAAATGATTTTGTTATGAAACTGGCATACCATTATCCTAAAAACTGAACTCTTCAATTTAACAATATTTATGTCTTTAAAACTAGACAAAAACTGGTTACAGAATCAACATTGAGACTCACAAAGAGTTTGGTCCCGCAACTACAAAAATTGTTGACAACAAGGATAAACACAAGTTTCTTCTTGTTTCAAAGATTACTACTTGGTACAATTATCACTGACTACTGCTTTTATGTGTCCATCTTTCTTTTTGGTTGTGATGATGGAATTAAATGTTTCTGAAACTCAGCTAGAACCATTGTTAACCAAATGGCATGTTATCATAAAAAAAAAAAAAAAAAAAAGTATGGCAGAGTAAATCTAATCCCACTAGGTTGGGAGACGAATCATGTTATATCCAACTTGCAAGTGACCTAATCAAGGGAATAATATTGTTTGGGAGAAAAACTAAAGAGAGTTTGTCCTTTGATACTGATTCTTCCCTAGTAGCACTTCCTTTCCTTGTCCTTCTCCATCTTGTGGTTCCTAAGGGAATGGCTCACATTACATTCTACCCTTTTGGGGGATATATTCTCCCAATTGGCTAAACCCCACCAACCTTTTCCTCCAGCTTATAAGGAGCTCCTTTGGTTATGTCTCTCACACTTCTCCTTGACTTCAAGTAACCTTCACTAAAACAATCCATCTTTCCCTTCCACCCCTTTCCCAGGTTTCAATCTAGTCTCTCTTGCATTCTCAGTTAGGTATTGCCTAACTTTCTGGTCTATTCCAGAGCTTGTTCAGATATCCGTTTGAGTCCCCGTTAATGGCATCACGAAGCTCTAGCTCCTCTTGGACACCACAGGAAAACAAAAAATTTGAGAAGGCCCTGGCTAAATATGATAAGGACACCCCTGACCGCTGGGAGAATGTAGCAAAGGCTGTTGGAGGAAAATCAGCTGAGGAGGTCAAGCAACACTATGAGGTCCTAATTAGGGATGTCAGAGCCATTGAGTCTGGCCGTTATCCTTATCCGAATTACAGCTCAAATGGAAGTAGTGACTAAGCATGAAACCCAAGGTAAAGCACTAGTTTATTTCCACTCAAGTAACAAGACGAACCGATAATCAGCTCATGTTTAAAACCACTTTCCACACCCCAAGTGTCTGCAAAAGCAATCCATGAGTCTTTCATATAATCAAGGAGTAAACTACAACGCTCCTACACATGAATCCCCATTCTTAAAGATAGGCTTTTCCTTTCATCGCAGATAACCTTTAGAGTCAGTTTAAGTGGCATCAGTACAATGAAAAATAATAACTCTATGGTCTAAGTTTTCTATGGTCCATGAGTTTCTGCCTAGTGCTTGCAGTTTATGTTTAATGGAAAAGGCAGTGACTGACCAAACTACATTGAACTTTCTATCCTGTCTCAAAGGAAAGGAAATTCTACTTGTGATCTGATCCTCTTCACCAACATGCTTTTCAATCTATCTGGAACTATTTGTCTGCATTATTACTGAAACATATAGTTTTTTTTTTTTTTTTAATGTTTCGATCTCTTAACGTTTGTGTTATTATCAATATCTTTGGAATATTTTCAGAATCTTAATATTGTGGGCTAACACTACTTTCTATCTTGTTTACCCTCCAGTTTCCTACAGCATGCCTTTGGCTTCATTAAAGAACAAGATACAAGAGGTCTCATCTGCACAACTGTGAAATACTACCATATATATCCATACCAATATTTAATAAAAAAAATTCCCCCATTAATGAATCCATGATTCTGTATTACTACTGTCACTCCCCTTATTCCTCCACTTTTCCCCTTCTCCTTTTACCATGTGTAATTAAATGTTGTGATAAGAATGTATTATTGGCTATTTATATATATATATATATATATTGAGTAAAAATAAATCCATTCATCAATGACAAAATAATGCAAGAGTTACAAGCCAACCAATACGATGTAACCAAAGGCACTATAAAACACTCGTTAATTAAGCATATAATAATGAAGCAATCTAATGGTTACGTGAATATTATAGCTGAACTCTATTCTTAATCTGATAGTGACACTACAACATAATAAATATAATCTATTAGGACTTAAAAATAAAAAGGTAATTGTGGAGACAGTTAGCTGCTAAAAGCATTCTAAAGCAACATAGTGCCACCACCGACTTCTCCAACCTTGAACCTTCAATGAAAATGATATAAAATAACGATAAACTGACATGGACTATACCTAAAAGGATGAACTTCCACATAAGGCAGCTTTAAAGGGAGATAAGATTCCTTGCAAAAAAACTTAAAAAAGTAAAACAAAATCACAAAAAAAGAAGAAGAAAGAAACAAAGAATCAAAAGGAGAAAGAGAAAGAAAGGATGGGAACAAGAGGGATTGAGAGAGGAGGGGGCAGCTGCTAGAGTTCTGCTCCCCTCTACTTTGATCTAGGTTGTTGAATATTTATAATAAGGATAAACAATTTATATATTCACTGGATTAAACAACTAACATAAAACAAATTGTGATTGCATTTGAAATTATTTTCACACAACTTTTTTTCTTCATGGTTATATAATTTATTATAATAAATTAATCTTAACAGTTCGTGCATTTTTGCAATTAAAGATGGACGAAAAATAGTAATAAAAAATTAATATAGTTGTCAATAATCATGTCACTAAACAGATTTTAGTACTCATTTTTGGGATCATTTGGGACTGAAATAAAGTTTGGGAACCAATCCAACATCAAACTAACAAGAAGGGGGACCAAAATAAGGCATTAAACTTTGACATACCCGTGTGTTTCAAAATAGGATTTTATGTGTTCGGCCATGAATAATCAACAAAACCCATTCGATGACCCGAGCAAGCCTGTGATTAACTTCCCGCAGCCAACCCGTTCACTTAACCCGTGGGCCAAAAATTATTTTTTAATTTTTTGGGCCAACATGGGGGACATAACCCAAAAAGAAACATAGAAAACCCTAGCCCACGTACAACACAACATGGTCTCGTCACATCCCGGTTTGGATTTCAATCGAATAAAAAATGTAAATAAGAATGTTAATTTATATTTTTTATTTAAAAAAATTAATTTTATTAATTTTAAATTAATATAAAAATTTTTAATTTTTTATTTAAAAATATTAATTTTTAATATTTTAATTACAAAATTTATTTATCACTAAGATTATTATTTAATTACTGTTAAAATAAAAAAAATAAAAATTAATTTCCTTAAAATAAAAAATACAAAAAAAAAAAAAGCGTAAAGTTGTTTTCTCGATTTTTCCCCACGCACGCGAGGTCGTCCTGCTTGAGCCACTGTTCGGCTCTCCAGGTGCAGAGGTTCCTGTCTAAACCCTAAACCAGGGTTTAAGGTTTTTGGTCTCGCGCCATCCTCCACCTCCTTTCTCCTCCGCATGATTCTTCACCGCCGTTACTTACCCCATTAACTAAGTTATTTCCTTCATTTCTCGATTCCCCATGGCTGCTTCTAGATTGTTCTCGTGCATAGCTGCCGCCGTCGCTTCCGCCTTTACTCTCCAGAATCCCGCTTATGCTGACTCGCCCTTCCGCTTCCCCTTCTATTCTTCTTCTTCTTCTTCGTCAGCTTCTCAGTCGGAGCAATCATCAAATGCCAAAGAAGACGATAATGCCGAGCCCAAAGAGCCCAAAGGTGCGGGGTTTGATCCGGAGGCTCTTGAGAGAGGCGCCAAAGCTCTTCGCAAAATTAATGACTCTCCTGTTGCCAAGCAGGTATGAAAAACAAGAAATCGGAGACTTACGAAAACATGTAGATAATTATTGATTTAGGCAATTGGTTTGTATTGTCAAGAGCGAAATCCCTTGTGTTACTGTTTGTACTGAGTATTTTGGTTTCTATTTCGGTTTGCTGATGTGATATGGCTGCTTCTTGTTATCAGGTTTTTGATCTTATGAGACAGCAGGAAAAGACTCGGTTGGCCGAGGTGGCAGCGGAGAAAGCTCATTATGAAGCCATTCAAAGCCAGATTGACATTGTAAGTGAAATGCTTAGCTCCTTGTTTTTGGGATGTTCTCTTCATAATTGTTATGTGTATCTGCAAATTACTTCTAATTGGGACTTTTGCAGATCATGGTGAGCAGCTCTACGTGGGTTTGTGTTATGGTCATATCTATCCATGCTTATGTTTTGTTTGTTAAGTCCATTTAATAAAATAATTCAGTGGATGATAAGGAAAATGCATATAGAAACTGGAACTGGATGTAGATGTTTATTTGGTCCACTGTGTCATCAATACAAGTTTTGTCAACATGTTTCTGACTGCAAAATTGTTGTTAAGAGCTTCTGATATGCTTTTGAGTTCTCAAAAGTCTTAATATCCTATTCTTCATCATAGTTAACTTTCTGGGCCTAGATCATTGGCTTTGTTAAACTCTAACCATGGTGGTTTGTTAGAGCTAAATTTTTTTTTCAACAGTACTTGTAAATCCCAGTAATGGCAAGTTATCAGATTTCTTTTAGGGAAGTGAACGAAACCAATTATAGAAGAAGGTGGTTTACCTTTTCAATATTTGAATTGACAGGACAGGCAGAGGAAGGTGGCTGAAGAGCAGCGGAACCTAATGCAACAACATGCTCAGGCAAAAGCACAAAAACTGAGATATGAAGATGAGTTGGCAAGGAAAAGAATGCAGGTAAGAAGCAGCATTTTTTCAGCCTGCCTTTAAAAATTAAATTACTATAACATTAAGATCACGCAATGGCAATGTAGGAGATTATAGATATCATTTTATTGATCTTCGCAGGCTGACCATGAAGCTCAGAGGAGACATAATGTGCAATTGGCACAGATGCAAGAGGAGTCGGCAATAAGAAAAGAACAGGCAAGACGGGCTACTGAGGAGCAGATCCAAGCACAGCAACGCCAGACCGAGAAAGAGAGAGCTGAAATAGAAAGAGAAACTATAAGAGTTAAAGCAATGGCTGAAGCTGAAGGCCGAGCCCATGAAGCTAAATTGACAGAGGATCATAACAGGCGAATGCTAATAGAGCGGATAAATGGTGAAAGAGAGAAATGGCTTGCTGCAATTAATACAACTTTTAGCCACATAGAAGGTACACAACAAATCAACACCTTTCAGTATTAATGCTGTCTGTATTGCTGGGCACTATTATATTGGATAAATTTGAATTGCTTGTCCTAGTTCTTTTTCAGCCTAATTCTGTCTGTTACTTCCTTCTGTGCTGTTTAGCACCATTTGTTCTACATTAGAATGTGCTTATATGGTGATAGCTTTGTCATAATGTCATAACTTTACAACATCAGGCTTGGATGTGAAGTTTGGCTTCTAGCTCTTAAAAGCCAATCCATGCTATTTCTTCCTGCTCAGTGGATCTCATGTAAAAATTTGTGATTAATCCATGCTATTTCTGCCTTTCTCATTGGAAATTATTATTATCATCTGAGTTACTGAATAACTTTGTACACATAAGCATACATCTCAGTTAGCCTCTTATTTTAGGTTCAATATAGCATCACATTCAGAAATATTCTTGTTAAATGAAATTTCAGGGGGTTTTAGGACTTTGTTGACTGATAGGAATAAGTTGATTATGACCATTGGAGGAGCAACTGCATTAGCTGCTGGCATTTATACTACTAGGTATGCTGCTTTTCATCTTGCTGTCACTTGTGATCCTTCTGGTGGTATCTCCCATCTTATTTGTTATTAATGTTTACCATTATTCTAACAGGGAAGGAGCCAGGGTCACATGGGGTTATATTAATCGGATATTAGGGCAGCCATCATTGATTCGCGAATCTTCCATGTCCAAATTTCCATGGTCAGGGATAGTTTCTCGAGTAAAGAACCAAGCTCTGAAAGCGGCACCATTGAAAAGTAAAAAGGGTCTTGAAAATGTTGTTCTCCATTCTTCACTGAAAAAGAGAATAGAGCAACTTGCTAGAGCCACAGCAAACACCAAGATTCACCAGGCCCCCTTCAGGAACATGCTATTTTATGGACCACCTGGCACTGGAAAAACACTGGTTGCAAGAGAGATGGCTCAAAAATCAGTATGGTTTGGCTGATTGTTTCATTTTAATGTTATTCTTTACTTATTGCTGCTTTATTTATTCATTTAGGGAATCCACTTCTAATCATAAAAAATTTTGAAAAATAGGTAATAAAATATCTTAGGGAATTGTTGCTGCATAACAGCTGAATGGTCATCATTTTTATATGGCTTCTTTTTCTTTCTCCTTTGCTTCCTCTGCTATTTATTAGGGAGTTGATCTAAATGCTGAAAGTAATTTTTTTAATCCTTGAGTTCTGTCCTACAGGGATTGGATTATGCAATGATGACAGGCGGTGATGTGGCACCCTTGGGTGCGCAGGCTGTCACCAAGATCCACGAGATATTTGATTGGGCAAAGAAATCGAAGAAGGGCTTACTGCTTTTTATTGATGAGGCTGATGCTTTTCTATGCGAGTAAGCTATTACCTTGATTGTTGTGTTAAGTTTGTTGGTAATTGGTTGAATTAACTTACTACTCTTCTACATAAGAAAGCTACTGTTTCCACTTTTTATTGCTGTACTGTCTGCGGGAATCCCCATGGTATGGTTAAACCCGTTTTCATCCCATACAATACAACGCATGAATCATATTAAGGTAAAGAAGATTTTGGTTTGTGAGTTTTGGGGTTTAGACTGTAATCCCTTTCACTGGTTTCTGATGAAACTCCATTTTTTTTGGTCATGATGAAAACTCCAATTAATGGCTGGTTCTCTTTCTAATTATTGCGCATAAATTCTCAAATTAAAACAGTTAATGGTTGAATAGAAGTATCTTGAAGCTTTCAGTATTCTTCTGTCGATGAATCTTTGGTTCTATATCAAAGTCGTAGAAATCTAGATGCTTGTTTTAACAAAATATTGTTAGGAGCTCGTTGTACCTTATCTAATTTTTTGTTATTAATGTAATAATTGATGCAGGCGTAACAACACACGCATGAGTGAGTCGCAGCGTAGTGCTTTAAATGCGTTGCTGTTCCGAACTGGAGATCAATCAAGGGACATTGTCCTCGTGCTCGCCACTAACAGACCAGGAGATCTTGACAGTGCTGTTACTGACCGAATTGATGAGGTGATTGAGTTCCCACTTCCAGGGGAGGAAGAACGGGTCAATCTGCTGAAGCTTTACGTAAACAAGTACCTCCATGACGAAGGCGACAATGCATCATCTAAGTTGGGTCTCTTCAATAAAAAGCCACAGAAGATAACCATAAAAGATTTGTCTGAAGACGTGATCCGAGAGGCGGCTACAAAAACAGAAGGGTTCTCTGGCCGTGAGATAGCGAAATTGGTGGCTGGTATCCAAGCAGCGGTCTATGGCAGGCCAGACTGTGTACTGGATTCTCAGCTGTTTAGGGAAATTGTTGACTACAAGGTTGCCGAGCATCACCAGCGAATGAAACTGGCGGCTGAAGACGGTCACCCCCAGCCTCCGCGAGCTTAGAAATTGGTTACGAGCAATAAATCCTGGGTGTGGGAATTTTTTCTTTTGTTCTCACACACGTTGAAAATCATTTATGATTCAAAATGGAGTAGCACAAATATTCACTTGGGTTTCCAACTGAATGAATGCATGTTGGTTTATGTGTATGCTAAATAAAATATATATATATATATATATATGTACACCAATTATTCCCAGGACTTAACCAATTTAGCCAAGCGATAATATGTTGATAAAAAAAATTAAAAATAATAATGAAAAAAAAGTTAAAATTTAGTATTTAAATAATTTTATAACAGTTTTAATATTTAAATAAATATTAACTTAATCCCTACTTTTACTCTCACAAAATTTTATTTTTTTTATTTTTATTTTTTGTTGAATAAATTGAAATTATTTGCATATATTAATTAAAGAGAAAAGAGTTTATGTGAATTCGAATATATCACCTATGATAAGTAAATAGCCGTAACTCAAGATTATATTACTGAATTAGAATGGACTGTTTTACAAAATTTTAGCATTTTTTTTTTTTTTGAATATATTTGCAAGGGGCGGGTTTCGAACCCAGCCCGGCGAGGGGGAAATGCACCGGATGGCTATTGCCACGCAAGGGCCAGGTGCACAAAATTTTAGCTTTTTATTATATATATAATTAAATAATTCATATTTTATTGTTTAAATTATAAAGATAATAGTCCATTATATGGGAATTCCTCATTATCCCATGGTTTATGTTTTGGTCAAATGAACGGACATGGCCCATTCGGCCCTGTTTTGGTCTGGTGCAGCGAACGCGGGCAACCGTATTGTTGTCTGAAACACGTGTCAGAAGTTGGATTAACATCTTCCTAAGCGGGTCTCCTATGCAGCCAGGTGGCCTACGTAAACGTCACGTGTCTAGACGAACTGCTTCTTCTCCTCCTCGCTTATTATTTATTCGTTCGGCTCAGAAGCTAGAAGCAGCAAGCAACGGCATGAAGGATTTATTGTTGCATTAAAGTTGCGTCTCCGTTGCTATTAACTCTTAATTTCTTAATTAACTGGAAATAGGCAGGCAGGAGGGCAGCGATGGGGAAAATAAAGGTGATGATAATGGCGGCAGTGGCGGTGTTATGGGTGGGGGTTTGCTGTGGATGGGGAGAGGAAGCGAAGGAGAGAAAGAATCTTAAAGCAAAAGGGGCCAACGCCAAAAACAGAGTCGATCATGGGCTGATTGGGTTCACACCAAGTACTCAGTAATTAATTCTACTCCTACTTTACATTTATATTAATTCTACATATATTATCCATACAAATCCGCATGAATATCGAGCATTTGGAGTTTTGTATATATATATATATATATATATATATTGCTGTCCCATGAATGTTACTGTTAGTCAATTTCATGACCAACTTCATTCTATTAATTGTGGAAGATGAGATAACGTAGATGTTAATTTGTAGGTTGGATCAGAATGTAGATATTGACATGGATACCCTTTTACCCCTTTGGGTGGGATTTGGTTACAGTACGTATTTCTTTTGGGAAAAGAAATCAACTTTTGCCATCAATAAAATCCTGGAAAATGAAATTTTGGATTTATAACTTTTTATTTTCGCTGTTATGGTATACATTTCGTTTTCCCAAAAGACCGTACTTCAAACCATTGAGGATCATGTTTCTTTTTTTCTTTTTCTTTTTTCTTTTTTTTTTTTTTGTATACTTCTTAACTGGAGCACTAAGTTTTGTGCTTGTTAACTTATCTCTTGCATTGCAATGATAATGGCAGGGCTTCTGGATCCAATCCTAGTACTGTTAATGCAAAAGAGAGAGCTCAAGAGATGATGCATAAAGCAGGGGATGTTGCCTCCAGGGCCATAGAAAATGAACTTTGGTGTATCTGGTAATAACACTTTATGTTCTTACCATTTAATTTCCTGCTCCATATTATCTAATCAATAACTTGGTGGTTGTAAGCAAAATATAATTTTCCTTTCTTGTTTGGTTCCATATATATGTGCACATAATCCAAGAACATGCTGCACGGAATGCTAGGAAGGCAGCAGATATGACTACTGAAAAGATGGGTCCTGCATGCTTCTGACAAGGCAGACCAAGTTATAAGAATGGCTACAGAGATAAGGCTGATGATGCCAGGGAGACAACAGCCGGAGGAGTGGCATATGGGAAATATAAAGCGGCAACAGCATATGGTAATGCTAACCAGAAGCTTAACATGCCTGATATGGCTTCAGATGCTAGAGAGTCAGCAGCAGGAGCAATGAGATATGGGAAGGATAAAGCAGCTTATGCTTATGATATGGAGCTGAGTAAAAAAATATGACCATGGCTTCCTATCATGCCAGAGAAACAATTGTAGGGTCATCAGCCAAGTATGGAATGGATGAAGCATGCAGTGCATATATATGATGAAGCCAGTATAAAATGAACATGGTTTCAGGGATGGCTGCAGATAAGTCTCACGGTGCAAAAGAGACAATTTCAAGGGCAGTGGGATATGCAGGAGATCCATAAAGCAGCCAAATGATAACCATGGCTTCAGATAAAGCGCAGCCAATGCATATTGATAAAGTTAAGGACAAAGCTTCCAACATGGCCTAAGATGCAAAAGAAAGAATGGCTGAATCAATGTGCAGTACTAATTCAGCACAGACAAAGCTGGAGATACTTACAATCAAGCTGAATAGAAACTCAACACGGCCTCTCATACAGCTTCAGATAAGGCTTCAATTGCAGGATCAATGTAGAATATTTAATTAACACCGGGCTAAGGCTGAGGCTGCCAAGGAAACGGCTTCTCAGGCCGCAGGTGACGTCGGCGCTCAGATGAGAAATGATGGATTCGGAGGAGCTTTGAGTGTGAAATTACAGTTTTTACATTGCTACCTTCATGAAGCTATCTGTAAGTCACTAACATCATCATGGCTCTTCTGTTCTCATTTTCTTTGCAACTTAATTATTAACTTAATTAGCATTATGGAGTTACTATCTGAAGAATTTGTATGTCCTCTTGCTTTTTATTTATTTTCTTTTCACCTTTTATCTCTTTTTTTTTTTTATGAAAAATGTTTACTGCATGCATTTATTTGTTTCTTTTTGTTTTATTCTTTTTCAATTTCCCTAATAATATAGAAGAAACTGTACAATTTCCCCTCCTATTTTTCAAATGAAGTTTTATATATATATATATGATGATAAATTATGCAATTAGAAAATATGTCTCTTTTTAAAGTCTTCCTAACTCATTTTTTAAAGTTTAAATTCAAGATTTTTAATAAAAAATCTTAAACTTTTAGCAAACTGTAACATCTTTTAGAGACAGAGATATTGCTAAATTCCTGTACATTGTGTTTGAAATCTCATTGATTCGGCATATTTTTCCCTATCTTTAAAGATGGATTTTCTTTTTCATTCACACATCCTTTTTCTTTATTACATGTCTCTTTCAAGTATCAAGCGAAGCTTTTTAGGTGAATTTTTCTACAGGGCCAGCTGTGTCCTTCCTGTTCATTATTTGCCTGTGACTTTGTACTGCTCTCTGTCCCAATTTATTTTCCTTCCATTAATTTCTTATGTTCTTAACACACATATTATTATTAAAAAAATAAAAAAAATATATTGCATAACATATACCATCAAATTTAGGCCAGCTACCTGAATGTGTACCAGGCTCTCTCTTGATGAATCTGATGGCATTGAATTTGTAGGTCAGTATTATCTGAACTACAAAATATGGTATTGTAAAAAGTATAGGCTATACATATGTACCTTCTTATTTCATACAAACCATAATCTTAGAAATTAATGTACTAAAAAATATATACATTCAAAAGTTAGGCTAATATATATAGTTAGTACTTGGTATTTGTTGGGCTTGCTATATATTGGCTTGGGACAAAAAAACGTACCCAGATGATATCCATGTTAGTCCTTGTTCCTTAAACATTACATTAGTTAGTGATCTTTCCATATCATGGATGTGCAATACCATCTGCTATGCAAATAATCCCACTAATCGTGGTATAAAACCAAAACAAGAAACTTCTTCTTTTTTTTTTTCGGGGGAGGAGGGGGCCATCAAAACAAGAAACTTCTAATTTCTCACAAATAACTCAATACTTAAAACCCTAACCCTAACGCAGGATATATCTTCTTAATTATTTTATGAGTTGTAATACAAATATATCCTCAGTTGTCAATATGTTTTTGAGAAGTGTGAATCTTTTGATATCACAGATTAACAATTATCTTGAACAAAATTATTACATACTGATAATATACTTAACAAACATGAATGCCAAATTGAGAAAAATCAGCACTAGCAAGAGACGTAAATCTATCTGCTTCTCCCTTTTTTTGGTAATTAATTATTCACATGTGATCTACTTATTCTCTAGTACCAGTAGAACCTTGAAATTAAAAAAAAAAAAAAAAATCTTAATTGCTTACATTTGCTTCTTCTTCATGGCTTGTTTATTGTTGTGCATCCATACCTTGAATACCTTTCTCTTTACTCCTGCATCAGCACAGAACTGCTGCACCTCATCTTCATCTTGCTTCTGGATCTTCCATCCTATTTTCTCAGCAAATTCCATCATCTTGTCTTTTTGGTCTTGGTTGAACTTGGTCCTGAATCTCTTCTTTGACAATGGTGGCTGCACTGATGATTGTCCTCCTGCATTTGCTTGGAATAGTATCAGATCTTCACTGGAGGATTCCGCCAGAGCACCGCCACCGAAAGCCATCATGACTGGTGCAATTGGGACTGTGGAAGGAATATTGGTGGGGAACCCATGGGATAATCTGTGCTGAGGCAGTGGAGGGATGTTGTCTCTTCTTGCGCTGTTTTTGCCGGGGGTATATGTGTAGTAACTATTTGGGGCATATTGCGACTCCCCATTAGTTTCTTTCCGGTGAAAACTCCGATGACAGTCACAAGCCGCACATTTCAAGGCCTCCGGGGTACCTTCCTCTCCGTTCGGCATGAACTCCCCGCAACCGTCGAGGACATGACCGCCCGTAGCAGCGGCATGGTTCTTCATACATTCTCTGTATCTAACCGAAGGTGCAGAGGTTGGTGCTGGCGGAGGTTGCAGAGGTGCGGGAGCTGGTTGTGGGGATTTCAGGCTTGATCTGTTAGCTGCTTGGGTGGCAACTGGAGCCGGAACCGGATCTGGGTCTGGCTCAGGATCTCTTCTGGGTTTGTTTATCTGTGGATTCAGCTGATCATGATGGTAAACAGACTGTTGTTGATGATGATCTACGGATTGAGAGAGGATTGCATCAGAAACAACACTCTGATCTCTTCTTCTTGGCATACCCATTTCCTTATCCTGACCTCTAACTTCCATGTCAAACCCTGATTTTCACTGAGAAATAAAAAACTCTTAATTAGATTCAAGTTTTTATCCTTTCCCAAGTTCGTGCTTCCCTTTATTACGTAACAGTGCATATCCTTTTCAACCCATAATCACACTATTATCACCATGATCACTTCTTAATGAAAGGAATAATCTTTATTCTGAATTTGACATTTTAGCACAAACCCCACCCAACTTATTTCACTACTCCCAAACTCTATTCCCAAAGGTTAGTGCTCAAGACTAAAAGAACTTAAATTTCATGGGAAACTCATAAAGGAATGAAAAGATCACTGAGATGGGACCCCTACTATAATAAATTTAGTTACAAACCTTTGAGGATTTGGAGATTAAAGGAAAACACAAGTCAGGATTTAGCATTTGTTAAGGAAGCGATCTTGAATCCTAAACCAAAGGGAAAACTAAAGAGGAGGTGTAATAAAAAATGGGGATAGAAATGTATGGAAGGAAGAAGTTGTGTTTCCTACTCACCCATCTAAGCCCAGGAAATCCGTCTTTCAAAGGAGCAGTTTGGGAATGGGATAGTTAAATTGTACTCAAGAGTCTGTGATGATAATTAGAGAGAACAGTACTACTCCTGCAGAACAACCGACAATGCCATGTTCCCACTGTGCTCTCAAAGCCTGCACTCTGGAGTCTGGTCCAGCGCCTAATTATTGCCCTTTCTCTAACCTCAGCTTTGCTGTCTTTATCTTCTCTCTTTCTTAAAACCCTAAACATTATACAGAACCCAAGGAGCAAATTAATGTCCTCTAATCTTTCTTTTTTTCAGTGTAATACACCTCATGGAATCTTCCGGCAAGCTCTAAGAACCTTCCTAAACTGATTAGGGAGAAGTTAAAAACGAGTTTAAGGAGATGATAATCACTGAGAGAAAGAGGAAAGAAAGAGGGCTTTATTTATCATTTAGTGGGGATACGAAATTAAAGTGAGGTAATGCTGGTCCACGGAACAGAACTTGTCCTTTAACACGAGGCTGGCTTCGTGTTGGTGCGTCTGCAGCAATTTTAACTTTCCCTAGGATTCCTGTGCTGTCATGGGATTCTTCCCCC